TCCACGCGTCGCAGAACCGCTAGTTGGTTCAACCGGGTCTAGACATTAACATAAGTTGAAATCACAACTACCTTGAAATAAGCCAATGAATTCTGTTGTAGAGCAGTTGGGACTACAACAACCATAGTCAGCTGTAATAATTGATGGGGATGGTAAATGATGGGTGGTGGTTGTTCTCCTGCATTGAGTTATATTGTATTTGTTAACGCATTTTTCTCTTTTTTTCTCTTTTCAAGTGAAGAATAAAGGTCTATTTATAATTTTTTAGAGGAGCATTTTAGTAAATCTTGTTAGAGTCTCAAAACACTACATCAGATGGTTCACATGACTCACTTTCACGTGATCAATATAATTTTTCAATACTTAATGTCTTAATAACTTCAAAATTAGATGATCTTGAGCTTGTTAAATTTCTCTCTTCGAGACACTCGATTTGATTTCAAATATGTCAAATTTGGAGTTCATTTGGTTCTCTAAATTATTTTTTAAAGTTTCCAATTGCATTTAAAATGCTTGATCTGGGCTTTGATTGAATTCAGATTGAATCATGTTTTATATCACTAGGCTTGTCTTGTCAAGCTGCGTAGTTTTTCTGTAGCTTTGTTAAAACTGTAGCTTGGATGATTCTTTATTTGAATATGAAAAAATTTTTACCCAAAATGCATCAAGATTCGTACTTGATCATATAAATTTTTAGGTAACAATATATATATATATATATATATATATATATATAATGTTACCTAAAAATGGCGATATCATGCGTGGGAGGCTCTGCTAGGGTTTCGCCTCATGGCGAATCCTAGCGTCTGTTACGGCGATTTCTCGCATCGTCATGCTCAAAGGTTTCGCGCCTTGACTCATCTGTTTCATTTTCCTTTCCTAACGCTTCGTTGTACTACTTTTGCCTCGCCATAGTACTTCGTCGTCGTCGTGAAGGACGATTTCTGGGCGTGAACTCGTCTTTTCTTTCCTCGTGCTCGAAGCAGAAAATTTTTACTCATTCTCGCTTCGGATGCCCATTGAAGGAAGTTTGTACCTTTCGTCCTCTGCTTGACTTTGAAGGGAAGCGAACAAAATATATATTTGTATGTATTTGTCATAATCAACATTTGGTATCCGAAAACAAGGCAGGGAGACAAACAGAGGCAGCTAATACATGATAAAATTGTGGAGTTGATAAAAAGTAATATTTCGCCAGAATTCGGATCAGATGAATGAAAGAGGGTAACTTAGAGGAACAATGTGTATTTTGATAAATTTAAATGTGAGAGAAGCTGGACATTTTCAGACGGGGAGATTCAGACATTGGTCTGCTGGAATTATTAAGGTTCGTTTCCTTATGCTTCTCTCTAAGCACCAAGAAATGGATCCTTCAGATGGCCGTTTGATGCAGCCACTCTCCTCGACATGATGTCAAAATCCCCTCCATGCGGGTTGAAAATGAGTCCTCCAACTTCTTGAAGAATGATAGCCCCGCCGGCAACATCCCAAGGACCGCCAAACCTGAGTTCATAGAAGATGTCAATCCTACCACAAGCAACACTACAAAGGTTCAATGCACAGGAGCCATCCATCCTAAGGGTTTTCACCTTAAAGAGGAGGCTGTTGATTCTGTATTTTGTAGCATCAACATTGGGCTTATCACGTGTTGCTCTAACTTCAGTTGCAAGAAAGGGCTTCAATAACTCAGTTTGAGATGATGCTTTTTTGGGATTTCCATTGAGGAAAGCACCTTGTCCACAAATACCGGTAAAAAGCTCATTAATTATCGAATTGTATACAACTCCCACAATAGGGACCTTATTAATGGCGAGGCCAATAGAGACACAAACAAAAGGGAACCCATGACCAAAATTTGTAGTTCCGTCAAGTGGATTCACAATCCATGTCGGATCATCAGTTAACTCGGAACTACCCAAAACAGCAGAGGCCTCTTTGCCAATAAATTTGAGTAGGGAAATACTTCTTGATTTGACTGAAAATAAGTTCTTTGCATTCTTTGTCAGTTTCTGTCACTAAATCCACTAATCCTTTGTGCTCCACATGCTTGGTCTGGTAAAATCCTCTGCAAATGACCTCCCCAACATTCTTGGCGGCATCCGCGGCGACATCAAGGAACTCAGCAAGCGTGTATTTATTGGCCATATTTCTCTGGCTGTCAAAATTTAATCTTGCGACGAGGAAGGAGGCCTGATGATTCCTCCGCTT